TCTCTCTCTCTCTCTCTCTCTCTCTCTCTCTCTCTCTCTCTCTCTCTCTCTCTGATTCTGACTCAAAATAATAAAAAAAATCAGGTTCTTTTCTACAATCTGTGTTGTTATTGTGGCAAAGCTTTGTTTATATGCAGAAATTCACTTTTGTCATCACTTCCTGTTACTGCACATGTGAAAACCTCAGCTGTTCGTCTCAGTGGCATGAAATTATATTTGCAATRTGTTATTAATGTTATCTTTCCAAACACACAAGTTTGATGTCACAGGCATATCTCGTCACCTTGATATACAGCCCAAATATCAGAGTGTATCTATGTTTTCATAGCTTAGATTCTAAGCCTTATATGGCAAAGTTAGAGTTGGAAGTTTTGACATCCTTTGAGTTTCTTCAGAAAGTTTCTGGTTTGTGTTCCTGTTGATCACAGCTAGTTCACATAGTATTTCACTAAACAAGGTGAGAATTGTATAGCAGGTGCTGTGAGTTTTCAGCAGAGCTCTGTGAAGCACCTAAAGATGTATCCCTTCCATTTTTTTCTCTTGCTTAAGTCTGCCTGTAGTAGAGAGTGCCTGATGCACTGACACAAACACAACAGTCAAACTGCAGGAGAATAAGTACCAATAACAGAAGGAGATATTTAATCCAAAGTATGTAAAAAATAATAAATGAAATTAAAAAAGGGGAGGGGGATCAAACTCTTAAGGCTTAAGAGCAAACATTCACTTTTCAATGAATAAAATTAAATTCAAAAGTGGCTGAATGGTGTTATAAATTGAATTCATAAATTCAGAATGTGGTCTAAATAGTATGAATTACCAAGTCTGGCATCATTGCCCTAATATTTTTTTATCTGACAATCTGCAATATTTTTGATAAAGCTTAAGAAATTAAGATAAATTTCAGATCTTAAGTGTAGATTTCAGCTTAAAAATTACTGTTATGGGACTGAATAAGTTCAACAATAAAGTTTTTATTTATTCAATCAGCTGTTTTAAATTCAGCAGTTCTTAAAAAGTGGTGTTTCTTAAAGAYAAGAAGCTTACTCTGTAGTTTTTGTCAGTGTAGGAAGGAGAGGATGGCGGTGATTCTGTCAGAGACCTCCTGGTGCGAGTCAGATCCTTGGAGCGCTGAAAGTAGGAGGACATCTTTCACGTCYGCTTTTGGTCAGCTTTAAGACTCAGTCAAGATACCAGCGGCCTCAAAAAAGATTCCTCTCAAACAACAGTGACGCACATGTCCCCGACTGTGCTCCTGTGGAATCCTCAGCAACAGGTGTGTGTTTACATGTGTAGTGTTTCAGTCCAGCTGCCTGTGAGAGCTTGAAGGAGATTTCAGATGTGYGGTCACTGTTTGGTTTTCTTTTTTAGCAGCGGTCTGATAAAAGTTAAAGAATAATAAAAATAAAAATCAGCCCCAGTGGATGACAAAAAAATTCAGACCGGAAACCACAAAATCAACCCTTGTCTTCTTTGCATCAGTCCTGAGCTTTTCTTTATGTGTCACACTGAGAAAAAAAAAAAAGTTCCAAAGAAAACAGAAACAGGAGGAAAAA